CAGAAACTTCCACCGCTCCCTCTTGCCCTGAAAAGAGGCATATGTGCATAATATAAATGCTGTTTCCTGAGGACCTGGCTTCTAATCAGCCAGCATACAGGTACTGACAAGATCTTCCCTTTGGGACATGGAGAGTTCTTGGCACACCTTCAACTACTGGGAATCACAAAAACAAAAAAGTTGCTTCGAAAATCACAAAATCATGAAGACAATCAAGAGTCAAAGCAGGGTTGAACGATAAGGTTCATCTCCCCTAAAACACCATACCTTCAAGACTGGGAGAAGTGATTGTTTTATCTAATATAGAAATCAACACAAAGTATTTAAGGACCATAAGGAAACAGCAGAAAATGCTTAAAAAAAAAAAAAGAACAAGATAAAACTCCAGAAAAAGACCTAATTGGAACGGAGATAACTGATTTACCTAGTAAAGATTTTAAAATAACGGTCATAAAGATATCTACTGAGGTCAAGAGAAGAATGCATGAGCACAGTGAGAATTTCAATAAATATAAAAAGAATTAGTACCAAACAGAAATCACAGAACTGAGCAGAAAATTCAAGAGATGGGTTCATTGTAGACAAGATAAAGTAGAAGAAAGGCAACCCTGACAACAGGGCAATGAAGTTCATCCAATCAGAATAGTAAAAAGAAAAAAGATTAGAAAAGAATGAAGACACAGAAGGGACTTAAAGGACAGCATCAAATGGCCCAATATTCATATCATGGGGGTTGAGAGAGAGAGAGAAAGAGAGAGAGAGAGAGAGAGAGAGAGAGAGAGAGAAAAGGGGCAGAAAGCTTATCTGAAGAAATACTGGCTGAAAACTTCCCTAACCTTAAGAAGGAAACAAATTCCAGGTCCTGCAAACCCAAATAGTCCTGAAGAAGAATCCAAAGAAACCCACACCAAGACATATTTACTAAATTATCAAAAATTAAATGCAAAAGAATCTTATAAGCAGCAAAAGAAAAACATCTTGCTGCATACAAGGAATGTATTTGGGTTATTAATAGGCTTTCAACAGTAACTCTGTACGCCAAAGGGAATGGCACAATATCTTCAAGGTGCTGAAAGATAAAAATCTGCCAACCACAGATTCTCCTACTGAGAAAGCTGTACAGCAGAAATAAAAGGAGATAAAGAGTTCTGCACACATTCAGTAGTTGAAGGAACTCCTCACCACCAATCTGGCCTTACGAGAAATGTTAAAGGCAGTTCCTTACACTAAAAGGAAAGCATGTTAAGTAGTAAAAAGAAAACATGTGAAAGTATAAATTTCTAGGGAAAAGGTACATCTACAGGTGGAATTCTGAATAATCTAGCGTTAACAGGTTAATTATAAATATAGTATTTGTGATTTTTTGTCAAAAGACAAAAGGTAGTAGAAATAGCTACAATAATAGTAAGTACTATAATTTGTTAATGAATACACAAGATAATAAGATTTAAATAGGGACAAAGAAACATAAATACTTAAGGGGAATAAAACCTAAGTAATCAGCTTAAAATAAAATGTTCTAATTCCAAGATGTTTTATGTAATTCTCATGGTAACCACAAAGGAAAAACCTATGGTAAGTACAAACAAGACAAAGAAAGGAATCTAAACATAACATTGAAGATGTTCAAATCACAAGGAAAGTGAGCAACAGAAAAAGGAAGAGAATTTTTTTAAAAAGCCACAAAACAAGTGACATAATGCCAGTGAATCCACATTACTTGAAGTGTAAAGGGACTAAAATTTCCAATCAAAAGGCACAGAGTGGTTGACTGGATACAAAACAAGACCTAACTGTACGCTGTCTACATGAAATTCACTTTAGATTTAAGGAAACGCAAGAAGTGAAAGTAAAGGAACAGAAAAAGTTATTCTATGTAAATGGAAACTAAAAGAATGCTGGAGAAGCTGTATTTATATAAGACAAAATAGTCATTAAGGCAAAAAACATAAAGAGAAAAAAGAAGTCATTGTCCGCTGACTGATGAACAGATAAAAAGATGTGATACACACACACACACACACACACACACACACACACACACACTGGAATATTACTCAGCCATCAAAAAGAATGAAATCTTGCCATTTGCAATGATGTGGATGGAACTAAAGGTGCTATAGTAGCCAAAATGCTAAGCAAAATAAGTCAGAGAAAGACAAATACCATATGATTTCACCCATACGTGTAATTTATGAAACCAAATAGATGAAATAGGGGAAATGAAGGAAAGAGAAAAATAAAATAAGACAAAAATCAGAGACAGAAACAAGCCATAAAAGAAACTCCTTTTAACTACAGGAAACAAACTAAGGGTTGCTAGAGGGGAAGGGGGTAATGGGATAGGGTAACTGAGTGATGGGCATTAAGGAGGCATGATGTAATATGCACTGGGAATTATAAGGAAATGATGAATCACTGAACTCTACCTCTGAAACGAATAATGTGTTAATTAATTGATTTTAAATAAACATTCAAAGTACACGTCAGCAATGAAAAAGAAACAAGTAATCAAAAGGTACAAAATTCCAGTTAACAGTACTCCCCACATCCATGGAAGATATGTCCCAAGTGGATACCTGAGACTGTAAATACTACTCAACACCAGACATACCATGTTTTGTCCTACCCACATATACTTATGGTCTAGTTTAAATTATAAAGTATACCACAGTAAGGGATTAACCATACTAACAAAATAGAACAATTATAACAATGTATGATAATAAAAGTTACGTGAATGAAGTCTCTTTATCTCTCTCTTTTAAAAAAATATCTTATTTATTTATGAGAGAGAGAAAGAGAGAGACAGAGACACAGGCAGAGGGAGAAGCAGGCTCCACACAGGGAACCTGATGTGGGACTCAATCTCGGGTATCCAGGAACAGGCCCTGGACTGAAGGCAGCACTAAACCGCTGAACCACCTGGGCTGCTCCTATCTGTAACTCTTAAAATCATACTTTACTCACATGTGATATGAGTGATGATGTGACATGATAAAAATGCCTACATGACGACATCAAGTGTGGTGAATAATGCAGGCATTGTAACACAGCATTAGGCTACTAATGACCTACTGACAAACAAAAGAAGGAAGATCATCTGCCTCTGGACTGTAGCTGACCATGGGTAACTAAAACCAAGGAAAGTGGAGCTGCAGATATGGTGGGACAACTGTATAAGACAAGTAAGTCTCGGGATGTTAAAAACATTGTATTGTATATTTGGAAGTTGCTAGAAGAATAGGTTTTAAAGTCTCATCACACACACAAAATGTGCAACTCTACGTGTCTGTACACATAAACTTAGTGTGGTAATAATATGGCTATACATATATCAAATCATTATGCTGTATACCTAAAACTAATACATTAAATTTCTAAAACCAGTATCATGTTATATGTCAATTTTATCTCAATATAAATAAATCGGTAGATAAAATGAAATGTATTCTAAAAATACAAAGAATGAAAAAGGGGAAAAAATTAGGAAACAATAGTAAAAAACAGGCATAAATATAATTGTATCAATAATTACATTAAATTTTACTAGAATTCCAATTAAATATTTTTTTTTATTGAGAGAACAAAGGGGTCAATTATATGTTGTCTTCAAGAAATATGCATTTCAAATATAAAGACAAAAAATTCAAATTAGTTAGAAACCTGCATCCCTTGCAAACAGTAAGCATAAGAAGTCTGAATTAATAACATTGATTTTAGATAAAATTTCAAAGAAAAAATTAAAGGGGACGTTTCATAGGGATAAAAGAACAAACTGCAGTTTTTAGTTTTAAAGGTATTGCATGCTTTCTGCTAAATTTACAATGAAGATATATGTGGGTTTTTTTCAATAAAGGCAAAGTTAATAGTCAACACAAATGAAGGAACATACATAACATAATCTCTCAGCAAACTAGGAATAGAAGGGAACTTAATTGATCTGGTAAAAGGCATTGAAATTTTGGAGCTAACAGCCTATTTAACAGTGAAAGATTAAATGCTTTCCCCCTACAATCAGGAACAAGTAAAGAATATCTATTCTCTCTCATCTATTCAACATCATACTGTAGATACAAACAGGGTAAGTAAAGAAATAAAAAGCATAGACATTAGAAAAAGAGAAACACTCTTATTTGCATTTGACATGATGATTTACATAGAAAATCCTAAGCGATCTTTAAAGCAACTACTGTAACATGAATTTAATAAGTGGCTAAGTACAACATGCAAATATGCAACATGCAAACCATCTATTGAAAACGGAAACTGACCAATTTATTTTTTAAATATCCCCTTTAAGACATCACTTAAAAAAAACACACACACAAAATACTTAGGAATGAATTTAGCAGAAAATGTGCAAGACTTTTAAACTAAAAGCTGCAAAAAGATAAAATGAAATAAAATAAAAATGAGTAAAAATAAAATATTTTTAAATAAAATAAAATAGGTAAATTTTGCAAACCTTAATAAGTCGGGAGAACTAACATACATATTGGAAAATTTATTAGTATTCTCAAAATACCACTTCTCACCAGTTAACCTATTGATGCCTATCAGAATCCAGGGCATTTTTTATTTTTAGAAATCTGACATAGTGATTTTAAAAATTTCTAGAAATAAAAAGGACCTAGAATATCTAGAGAAGCTTTGAAAAAAAACCAAGATAAAATCCTTATACTACTTATTAGATTTGCTGTAAAGGTACTACTTGATTAATAATTATAAATTAATGTGGAACAAATAAGGCCAAAGAAATGGAAAACTTATCTTCCTTAACACAGTAACAAGATGCTAAACTTTAAAACATTTCATAAAAATATTAACTGTTAATTCAAGTTCTTATCATTTATTATTTGATGACATTCTATTTTTATTGTTGAATTTCCTAAAGGTAATGGGTGGATCTGATGTGTTCAATAAATAGCTAAATGCTTGCTTACACACTGAGCATGTTCATTTTTTTTTTTTATTTTCTCCAGCCTCACATAACATACCTTAGACAGTCTTTTGGAAGATTCACAATTATGGTCCACACATGGCTTAGGTCCTTTTTCAGTGTCTAGAGATGAAACTGAGAAAATACAGTATATTTTATAAAGGGCCCCAGATCTGTATCACAGTATTAAAACTGGCTTTTGAAATATAAAATAGATCATTTATCTAATATTTCTCTTCCAGTAATAATTAAGCGTTTTCCTAATGTTACACTAAATCATTTAGATATAAATCTAAGCCAAAGGTTTGTTCTATGTAAATCAGGAAACCCTCACGATTGCGATGAACCTAAGACTTAATAATAATGATTGTAACAATAATAACAATGATGATTTTAATGATGAGAAGATCAGAGCAGAAGTACATGAAACAGATAATAGAAACATCACAGAAAAGCTTCACCAAACTAAGAATTGTTTCTTCAAAATGTAAACAAAATTTTCAACCCCCTCATGCAACTAACCAAGGAATAAAAAAAGGGCCCAAAGCAACAAAATTATAAATATAAAAGGAGACACTATAATTGATAACACAGAAATTCAAAGCATCATTAGGAGACTACTGAGAATAACTACGTACCACTTAACTGTACAACCTAGAAGACATAAAAACTTGTGAAGACATAAAATTCAACGAGAGAATAGATGACAAAGATTTCCACTAAATAATCTTTCTAAATTATATCAACTTAATTACCACAATTCTAAAACCTTCAGTTACTTCTCACTATTGGTCAAAATACATTTAGAAAACCTGATTTCTAGCCCTAGGTCTAGCACTAATAAACACAGGCTATTATTTAATACCTCCATGAGACCCACTCTCTGCTCTGTAAAATAAGAGACTAAATATTATGATTGTCATTCTTTCTACCTATAAAAATATGATTTAAAATATATCAATCTTAACTATCTAAGCTCTGTATAATATAACCACAAGCAATGACTAGTTGACTGTCCCCAAATTCTCTATACATCTTACCAATTAAATTTTCGAGAATGTTCCCCAAATATACCCTGTATACATGACTTTAAATTGCTATTTTGCATGGAATTATTTTAAAGCACCAATAATGTTTCATGGATCTCCTCAACTGTTCATCTCCTAATGACATCTTTATGTACATAGAACCCACAGAGTACCTAGAATCTCTGCCATAATATTTACAGAAGCTGTACTACTGTTATATATTTTCTTTTAACTAGAATATGACCTTCTTGAAGACAGATCCTTGCTCATATTATTGACATTTGCCTAATATGTTATGTAAAATATATTAGATGGATAAGCATTGATATGATGAAGATAATAAAATTGACCACAAAAGTATTAATAATGCAGAATACACTTGCAGAAAACTGGGAAGTCCTCATTTTTTCAATATCCTTTTAAAATATCTCCCCAAACCAGTACACACATGAAATTTCTGTATTGGCCTTTGAACTGATATCACAAAGTATTATAAAATATCACAAAAAAGACAACATATAAAATATAAAATCAAAGTGATTTTATAAAATCAAACAGAACAGATGTGAAGCTAAAGCAGACCTCGCAAAAGGGCTGTAGATTTGGAAAAAAAAAGAAAAGGTTTTTTTCAATGGACTACTTTTTAAATCCTTTTAAAATGAAATCATCATAAAACCAGACCCAGGAAATGTAGAATCTCTAAGATTCATATATCAAAAATATACAGTGGAGTTACGGAAAGCATTTTCAAAATGTAGCCAAATATTTAAAATATTATTTACCTAAGATAAAGCTTTTGAAATTACCGTTCATTAAGTAATTCAGAAGATGGTAGACCAGAGTCTACTATGTATCATAATATGATTGAGATCAAATCATGATGAAGGTACACAATTTTATTTTTAACTTGAATCCTTATAAAAGTTTAAAGCAAATTTAAAAATCCATCAAAATCTACTATTTATTAAACTAAAGCAAAATTGTTAGAAACAACACAGAATCCACAGAAATTATCCAGTCTTCAGAGTCAGTACAGATAGTGATTAACCATGTCATTAACACCTAGAATGTTTAAGTTATAATGCAGTACTAAAGGTAGTAAAGCCAAAAGGCAGTATACTACTCCCCCCCCCTCCCCATGTTAGGCAAACCACATAATACTTACACTGTCTAGATCAGTCTACTCAATTAGCTCTCTGGATCTGAGAGAGCACAACTTCTTCCTGAACTCCTGCCTTCTTTGATATACCTGCTTTAGTTATTTTAGTTAGGTTAGATGGTTAACCTCAACCTGTATGAAACTATGTACCCTCTTTGTCTTTTTATATGAAACTTTTTAGAAAATTTAAAAATGAAAAAGAAATAACACCTGTAAAATGGTGAGGTAGGATACCTCAAGCCACATCCTACCACAGGAACGCTGACAAACAAGACTCAAAACAGAATCAAGTTATGTTGAAACTCTGGAAAATAGCTAAATTTTTGTAACTGAGAAAATGCTGAGTCAACAGAAATTGACCTCCGCACAAAACAAAGAATCTTTTTATCAGAACACTAGCTAACATCAAGCTAAAGGACATCAGACATCACATACAACAAGGAATATAGTCTTTACAAAGGTAACTTAGATGGATCACTAAACAACTACAACACACACAAAAGAGGTAAAAGAATCTGATTTCATGATTACTACCTGTTAGAATATTAACAATGTACAGTTTTTAAAAAAATATAAGGAATGTGAGGAAAGAAGGGTATGAACCAACATCCAAAAATAATAATACTTAACAAAACAATTCATCCCCGAGGAAGCACAGAAATTGGAATTACTAGACAGACTCTCCGTCAACTGTTTTAAATATACTCAAAAAGCTAAAGGAAATAATAAGCACAGAACAACAACAACAACAAAAAGGAAAATGGTTTCACAACAGAATATATTAATAAAATGAAAGATGATATAAAAAGAAACTAAACAAATTCCGGAACTGACAGTTACAACAACTAAAATGAAGAACTCACTATAGGCTTTCAATTACAGAGTTGATCTTATGAAAGAATCGGTGAACTTGAGGATAGGTAAACTGAAATTATCCAGCTAGAGGAGCAGAAAGAAAAAGCAGAAAAAGAAATGAAAGCCTAATACCCCCACCACGTACGCATAACAGAGAAAAAAAGGAACCGAAAGGACATCTGAAAAAATAATGCCAGAAATGTCCCAATGTGATAAAAGACACGTATCTATGTATTCAAAAATATCAATGGAATTCAAGTAGCATAAAGGCAAGGATTTGGGGTGCCTGAGTAGCTCAGCTGGTTAAGCATCTGCCTTCAGCTCAGGTCATGATCTCAGGGTCCTGGGATCAAGCCCCACATCAGGCTCCCTGCCTCTCCCTCTGTCCCTTCCCCTGCTCATGCTTTCTCTCTTTCTAATAAATAATTTTTTAAAAAAATCTTTAAAATAAAGTCAAGGAATTCAACAGTGAAACACATTATAACCAATCTGTCAAAAATCAAAGACAGATTATCTTGAAAGCAGAAAGAGAGAAGAAAAAGAGGAACTTGTCACTCACTACAAGTCCATAGTAAGATTAACAAATGTCTTGTAAAAAAACAAAATTCTGGAACTGAATTCCGAAACAAAACAAAAGAAAACAACAACAACAAAAACCGCGGAGGTCAGTGAGATAACATATTTAAAGTACTAAAAGAAAAAAAGCTTTCGACCAAGAATCCTGTATCTGGAAAAATATCCTTCAGAAATGAAGAAGAAAGTAAAATATTCCAAACACAATGTTTAACATTATTAGCCAGTAACAGGATGACAGATAGTAATTCAATGCTGTGCAAAGAAATAAAGAATAGTGATAAAGTCAACTCTGCAGATACAAGGCAATATTGTTGTATTTTTACTCTTTTAACTCTCACTTTTTTCATGCATATGATTAGAAATAAATACATCAGATAATAATTGTAAATCTATGTTAGTGGTAAACAATGTAAAATAATTCAATGACAAAGACCATCATAGAGAGGAAGGAGTCAACCAGGCTAGTATTCATTCAAACAATATAGTTATATATTTAGGTTATTAACTGTAAAACTCAGGATAGCTGCCAAGAAAATAACTGGAATATATTCAGAAAAGAAAATGAAAATAAAATCAAAATGCTATTTTACAGTCAATTAAACCCAAGAAAAATCAGTAACAGAACATTAAGAAAAGAAAAAAGATAAAAGAAAACTTCGGGTTCAGAGTCCCACATGAAAGGCACCCGGATGCTATCACTCCTATCCTCACAAGAAAAGCTGTAAACAGACTCACAAACTTTTCTTTGATTCAACAGATAACTGAGGTCTCAGGGAAAACTGCTGCCCACAAAACGGTAGAGAGAAAAAGGTGGTTATGGAGAATTATTGCTTACGAGGAACAGAAGCACCAGAGAAAGACCCTGACAGGGAAGCTGGTAGCAGCAGGAGAAAACCAGCAACTGAGAATCTGTTGAAGGCTCACAGTGAGAAAGCCCAAGTGTTAAAAATTCCAGCTCTCAGGGACCCCCACCCTTTCATGAGTCCCAAGACTTCTCTGGGAGGGAACAGAAAACAAATCCCCTTGTACTTCTAGCATGAGGAGGAACAAAATAAACATTCTGAAATGTACCAAGAGTACTCACTTGTCTTCAACAAAAGCCTGCCCTTAAGGAGAAATATTTTTCCACAGCTTAAGCACCTGGAGGTTTGCCAAAGTCTAAAGAACCTTGCAGACTGGAAATGTCCAATTCCAGCTACCTGTAGGCTTCCAGTGCAAACCAAGAAAAAGGAGGAAAAACACTGCTGAAGGTTTCAGACCAAAGATCTAAGCTCTCTGAAATCCTGAGATCTGATTGTTGGGCCACACAATGCTTCTGCTGCCTCTACTAACTACCAGCACATCAACAGGACATCATACAAACCAGGAGATTACAACAGAAGGATTTTAAGTCTCATACTTTACTTAGGAAGATGACTTTGGGGAAACTCAAAGACAACAAAGCAGACAAAGATAAGCATATCAGATACTTTTAGCCCCTGAAGCCTATAGATTTGTAAATAGTATATATAGCCCAAATCCTAAACAAATAGACAAAAAATGTTACAATAAGACATACCTAACTCAGTTCTTACTATGAGGTACATCATATCCAGTTTTCAATAAAAAGTTGCAAGAAATACTAAAAGATAAAAAAACGTTTAAAAACACAGCAAGCAGGTTGCCTGGCCGGCACAGTAGGCTAGGCATCCAACTCGTGATGTTGGTCATGACTTCAGAGTCATGAGATGGAGCCCTGTGCCTAGTGCAGAGTCTGCTTGAAACTGTCTCTTTCTCCCTCTACCTCTCCCCCGCAGCTCACACCCTCTCTCTCTCAAATAAAATAAGCAAAATCTTAAAAGAAAAAAGAAACAACAGCATTATAATCATACTCAGATAGGTAGAGATGTTGACATTATTAGACTAGAAATTTAAAATACCTATGACAAGATGCAAGGGGCTGTAATGGAAAAGGTAGCCAACATCCAAGAATGGATGGGTAATATAAGGAGAGAAATTAAAACTCCAAGATAGGGGGCAGCACAGGTGGCTCAGAGGTTTAGCGCCGCCTTCAGCCCAGGGCCTGATCCCGGAGTGTCTGAAAATTGCAAAAAGAGATTTTAAAAGTTCTCACCACAAAAAAATAAGATAAATTGTAACTATTTTACATGCACACACACACATCAAATACTTATGTTGTACCTCTTAAAATTACATATTGTTATATGTCAATTTATTTCAATAAAGCTGGAAAGAAAATAAAATCTGGACAAAGAACTTGAATATACTTTTCTCCAAAAAAAAAAAAAAAAAAAGATATACAAATGGCCAAAATGCACATGAAAAAATGTTCAACATCATTAGTCATTAAAGAAATGCATATCAAGCCCACAAGGCCTCATTTCTATTGTGTATCATCTCTTTTATAGGTTCAACTTTACTTTCAAGGTCTTCTAAGGATTCTTAAATGCCTATTAATTGCACCTGTGAAGCACTCTGGGTACAAAAGTCTCATAACTCATGAATGCAAATACTATTCCTTGAAGAGCTAAAGCAAGAGTCTAACTGTGATAACTTTGTCTCCTTGGCTACAAAATAACTTTCAAAATTTTTCTGGAGGGGAAGAAAAATGGTAAAGAAGATAAAAGATAGTAAAAAAGGAGGTTGAAGTTCTTTTCCTGTAAAGCTTTACAACTCTTAGTTGTGTCTAAAAATTCAATCAGAGATGGCCAAAAACAAAACAAAACAGAAAAGTGGAGAAATGAGTGGGTACAATCCAACACCAGCAGTGAACAAATCAAGGACAGAGTAAGGAAGAAAGGAAAACAGTAAGCAATATCATCTGAGATGGATAGAGGATGGAGTCCTACTGCCATGGGGACTCAATTAAAAACATAGGGATAGTTATTCTGCAGTGTTTATTCATAAACAGGCCCTTTTATAAGTATTGGTACAAAATCAATTCTTCGCTTTCCAGAAAACACTGGGCCTCCATTCTGCATCATTAGGAAAAGCACCATAAGCCCTTAGAATGGTCCTTCTGATCTATAATATTAACTCATGTTATCAGAATTAGATTCTTTTACAAATTAAATCTTCGTAACAGTTAAATATACAGACAGGCATTTCCTTATTCTAAATTTCACTCCCTAGTAAATTATCACAGCAAAGGTTAGTTATTTGAGAGCTGTTACCATTACAAGTTAGTTATTTCACTAAGTACATGAATCCGAATTTTATTTTGAGGCCTATCAGATCTAAGCCAAAGTAGAGAACATTATAATACTCAGATCTATAACATTTACATTAAAAATATGCTGCAGATAATTCATGTCTTCAAAATCTGCTTTTTGCTTCTATTTGTTTTCTTTAAAAAATTATATATACTTACCTGAAAACGTAAAGAACAATTCATTTTGCAAACCAGCTCTTTGCATTTTAACACGATGGCACTCCGACTTCAGTAAAGAAACTTCACATGAAAGGTCAAGAACCAATTTGCTTAAAATCTGAAGAAGTTTCTTCTCAAAAGAAATATTATAGATACTGTTGCAGGGAGCTGCATGGTATCGAGCTGTGAACTGGTAATAATAATGAGGCTCACGATATGCTGTAAAAAATTAAAGAATAACACAAAAGTGGTTATTTAAACAGTTAAAATATATTGCAACTGTTAAAAAGAAATGATTACTTGTAATAATTTCATGGTATTTTTATATCCATCCTAAGAAAACTGAAGGATACAAGAATTATGCCAAATATATCCAATCCCTATGGTATCAAAATTAAGATTCTGAGCACCTGTGTGGTTCAGTCAGTTAAGCATTTGATTCTTGATTTCAGCTCAGGTCAGGAGCTGTGAGGCTGAGCCCTGTATTGGGCACCATGCTTGGCAGGAAGTCTGCTTGAGATTCTCTCCCTCTCCCTTCTCTTGAAAAAATAAATAAATCTTTTATGTTTCTCATAAATCTACCAGTTTTATTGAGTTCCATTATAATATCTGAAACTGAGAACATTTTTTTTCTTAAGCACTTCAAAATCTCACTGAAGTAAGAAAATATATAAATATGATAGGAAATCCATAATAATTATATACATATCATGTAACCACATTTTCTAACACAATGACATCAAAATAAAAATCAATAATTAAAAATCCATCAAAAATTTTAAAATAAAATACTACTAAATAACAAATGGCATATCCAATAAAGTAATGATGATGAAAAATGTTCTTAAAACAATTATAGTAGCAGGACATGACAGTTGGAAAAATGGTACAAGCCCACTTCCCAATGACAGTGATGTAAATTATTTTCAGAAATCAACTATTTATAGCCTCTGAAATGGTCCTAATGGTCCTAACAGAGGTTCCCAGAAAAAAGAAAGACATAGCTTCCCGAACATAAGTCATGTTAGGTCCCAGCCATCTTATGAAAGGGTATAGGAAATAACAGCCTGTAACAGGCCAAGAGACAGCCTAATCATATCAGAGACAATAAATTAGTGATAAAATTCCCAGTGCTGGTTAGTTATGACAACTATCTCAATTAATTATGAGCAGACAGCAGTTCACTGCATTTTTTTTTCTATCACCACCTTTTAGAAGAATCTCTGCTAAAACTTCGAAGCTCCAAAAGAACTGAGAGATCTAGTCCAAGCCACTCATTTTGAAGTCTTGTACACTATTGCTCAGGGAACTCAAAGTGATTTAAACACATTCTTTTGGGTGAGAGTAGGGGAAAGGATGCACTACCCAGGAGGTAAAATAACACTGGCCCGCAACACAATCCTTGACCAATCCACAGGGTGGTGGCTGAGGTCCTGGTTGGGGAGGAAGCAGTGTCTGTACACACTAGGGAAGGCTAAATATTTTCTTGTAGTAAACAGCCAGTAAATGTTCATCAACTATTATCTACTACTTTTCTGATAACAGAATTATTGTGGAAAGACAAACAAACAATTTGTAAGCAGACAACCAATCACACAAACTCCCAGTGCTGATTTCACCGTGAGGTGTGTTATGCTCACTCTTGAGTTACCTTCAGTTAGGGGCTTTTAGGATCTAAAACCCTCTGAGCGCTCAGACACTGGACCCACCTGAGCCCGAGAACCGATGACGCCCACCCCTGCTGGCCCTAGGACTCAGTCACCTTGAAATGACCTTGCCCCAATTCCATGCTGTATTCCCCCTGGAGCAAGCCCCTTCATGAATATGGACACACCCTCAGCTTATAGATTCCCCAATTTTCTTGTTCCAGGACATACTGCTATGGGTAAGATCCTCAGTGTTCTCCTTACTTGTTGCAAGCAAAATCCTTTCTTCCATTCTTTTGGCTTGGTTGTGTCCTTTGGCTTGACACCCACCAAGAGGGGAACTGGGTTTTGAATAACACTTAGAGCAAAGAAAAAAGTGGAAAAAAAAAAACATTTATTCAAAAAAATCTACTAGAAGTTGGTAAGAATAGGGAGTCTGGGGATTTGAACCCAGACCTCCCTCCCTCCCCTCAGCTAGATGGAAACACTACTCCAGACTGGTGTAGAAAGGAACGTGGGGTGCTCTCTTCCCCCAGCTCCCAGGCAGTAGCATCCCAGGAGGGGCAGGATGGCAGTACTTCTGACCACAGCTCCCTGTTGCTGAAGTGAAGCTGCAGTTGACACACTGGAGAGGGGAGGACTCCTCTCGTCCTCCCATCAGCATTCTGTGACACAGAGGCTCAAACCCAGCTGCAGCAATGCTGGGAATCCCTGGACGCTCACAGCCCTTGCAGTTTATGGTGTGAAGGCTGCACAGCAGGAACAGCCAACAGAGGAGTCCACAGAAGCTGCTACTATTCCCCGCCCCCCCCCCAAACTAAGCTCCTAGAGCAAGATGGCTCTCAACGGGAGCACAGCACTGTGCCCACTGAGCTCCAGGGCTGCAGGTCGGAGAATCTGCCAAGGGGCAGGAGCAGGCTGCAGAACAGTTCAGAACCTTTTCTCAAAGGAACAGACATCACTTGAGATAAAGTGCAGGGAAGCTGAAACCTCAGGGAAGTCTCAAAAACAGCAGAGGTTTAGTGAAAGACAAAGGGGTGGGGGGATTTATAGATTCATCTGCTAAGTAGGTGAGTAAGACTGGGGCTAGTCTGTCAGAGAGCAACACTGGAAGAGTCAGCTGGGAGGCGCTAACCTGGGTCAGAAAAAATATCACACACTCACCTGGGGAATATCCCTTCAAAGGAACCCAAATTTAACTGGATCAGTCTTCGGAGGAATTTATGCACAAGGCATTGTTGAAAACAAAAGATCCATCAAACAACTGTGGGTACACCCCAGCTGCACCTTCCTAAAACAGACTGGGGGGGGGAAGGGGCGTGGTCTTCACGTTATGGTAGGTGAGGAGTGAACTCCACAGAAATGATGTAGGCACTTGCTAAGCAAAAAAACATGAAATAATTATAGCAAGCCTGGGGAGGGCAGGGGTGTGGGTCCCTACCCAGAGTTCCTACACTATCTAAAAAGTTCCAGTTTGTGGAAAAAATTTGAGTCAAGCAAGTAAACAGGAAAGTATGACTCATGTACTGAAAAAAATAGGAAGAGTAACTATTTGAGTAAATGATCAGATGTGGGACTTAAAAGATAAAAATATCAAAGCATTCAATATTTATAAATATTATAAAACAGGGGTGCCTGGGTGGCTCAGTCGGTTGAGCATCCAACTCTTGGTTTCGGCTCAGGTCATAATCTCAGGGTCACCAGACTGAGCCTTGTCGAGCTCCCCACTGAGCATGGAGCCTACTTGAGATTCTTTCTCTCTCTCCTCATCTGCCCCTACCCCTGACTCATGCACATGCTCACTCTACTTCTCTAAAACAGAAGGAAAATGTTAAAAAAAAATTAAAGGATATTATGATTAAAGATGGAAAGCATACTGACAATCTCATATCGTATAGAATATCTATAAAGTTAGAAACTATAAAAAACAAACCAACTGGACATTCTGCAGTTGAAAATTGAAAGCACTGAAAGGAGAAATGAGCCAAGGAGCTCAGCAGGAGATGTGATCTAGCCAAAAAATGAATCAGCTAAAAGCAGTTCTTCATAATGAGAGAACATGACCCCAGTCAATAATGTGAATCTACATCAAAAAAACAAAGTGCCCCAGTAAAGGTAATTATATAATTATAAAGGTAGTATAAGTGCATATTTCTTCTACTTTTTTCCTCTTTAAGGATTTAAAAAGCAATTGTATAAAAGAAATCTGCATACGATGTTAACACCGATCCCCTTTTTGGGGCTACAGAAAGGACTACAGATGGCAGCTTGATACATGGGAGCAAATGATGAAAATCAAAATGATCAACAAGATGACTAAACTATAGGTTTAAACTTATAAACATACACTTTCCCTCCTTTCTATTTCTGGCTTCTCAAAAACACACAAAACTACATAAAGTAGGGACACAAAACAATCTTCATTAAAAAAGAATAGTGGGAGGCATCACTCTACTTGGTATTGAATGTTTCTATGTAGTTATATTAACTATTAGCAAGGAAGAAATTAGAGAACCCAGAAACAGGGGATCGCGTTGGTGGTACAGTGGTGAGCACAACTGCCTTCCATATGCTCATAAGACATGTTCGACGTCCATAGACATGAGGTAAACACTAATGAAAACCACAATGAAGTATCACTTCACACTCATCAAAATGGTTAAAATAAATTACAACAACCAATATTGACCGGTGAGGACAGAGAAGCTGCTGCTGGTCAGAACGTAAAATGGCAAAGCCACGGTGGCAAAGAAATTGGCAATCTCTTGTAAAACGAATATGTAACTATCACATGATCCATCCAGTGCACTTCGGGCATTTATCCCACAGGTAAAAAACCTCTATCTACACAAAAAACTATACACAAGGTTCATAGCAACTTTTTATGTTACAGCCCAAAGCCTGAAACAATCCAGATATTCTTCAGCAGGTGAGGGATGAAAAAGAGTCTAGCACATCTGTGCTATGGAATACAGCTCAGAAAAAAGGGAATGGATAATAAATGTACACAACTTAGATGAATTTCTAGAGAAGTAAGCCAAATGGAAAAAAAAATCCCATAAAACATTATACTATATTCCTGTACTCATATAATAGTTTGGAAGTGATAAAGTCATAGAATTGGAGGAAATTGTGGTTGTCAGTCATAACGAGGTGGTAAGAGGGAAGGAAATGGCTGAGTGTAAAGGACAACCCGGAGCATACTTCTGCTGCTGGTGTTGCTCTGTATCTTAACTGTAGCGTGGATACGTGAGCCTACACCTGTGATAAAGCCTAAGAGAATTAAATACACACACACGAAGGAGTACTATAAAACTGAAGGAATCTGATTAAGGTTGGTGCTCTACATAAACTAAGTATCTTGGCCCGATAATGTGCTAGATGTTCACAAGAAAGCACTAAAAGGGGAATCCAGGTAACACGTACATGGGATCCTATTACTTTTTACAACTACACATGAATCTATAATCATCTTGAAATAAAAATTTTAATTAAAAAAACATAGGCCATGGGTGATTCAGTTGGTTAAGCTTTCGACTCCTGATTTTGGCTCAGGTCATCATCTCAGGGTTGTGAAATGAAGCCCCATGTCAGGCTCCATGTTCACACTGGAGTCGGCTTGAGATAACTCTCTCCCTCTGCCTCTCCCTCCCTTTGCTTGCCCTTTCATTCTCTCTTTCTAAATAAACAAAATCTTAATAAAAAATAATTTTAAAAAACACAAGCCAGCAAAATAAATACAGGAAACTTTACTTTTTAGGTAATAAAGAACAACTTCTTAGAAAAAAAAATCAAACCAAAAAATCACAACTCAAAAAAGTAACGGTAAAGCTCACTACAAAAATATTTTAATCTTCTGGGACATAAACATAGTGAGAGGCAGGCAGAAGGTCCTGCAACATGATAGAGAAAGTACTGGTATCCAGAACGATAAACTATATCAATTACTGAGAAAAAGACAAACCATCCAAAATAAAAATGGCATCAACACTGAAAAAGCAGTATAATCTAAGTGACAAAAATATTCTTAAATGCTCGAATGTACTAATTAAGGACGGCATCTTAAAAGAATGAGTCACTATATACCCATGGTCTTGCCATATTTAAATCTGAGAGTAATTTTCAGTGTTGTGTTATTTTTGTTACTTTCTAAAATTTTACACATCTTATATATAAAAATGTAATGTAATTATAAGTGAGTTTGGTTCTTCTGATTCAGGGAAGCTTGCTCAGCACAAGCCAAAGGAATCTCAGAGGATGAGGTCTTCGTGTACTGCAGCGGGGTATTGGTTGGTCCGCTCTGGGTAGGAAAACTGGCAAAATCCAGCAAAATAACCCCGAATACTCTGTCGAAGGCTTTGCCTTACAAAATTCTTCTTATAAAAATACTGACACTTTAATTTCCAATATATGACACAAAAATACGTGTGACCTTGTGGTGAGCAGAGCAGAATGCTTACAGCTGTCAAGTCGCCATGCTGTACACTGAAGCTCAGCTGTCAGTCGCCATGTACACCTGAAACTCATGTAACACTGTGTCACCTACACTAAAAAATAATCATAAAGCCCATTTATATACCAAGGGTACATAGAGAAGAACTTTTATTTTTTCAAAAAAGATAAAAAGGGATCTGATTGGCTTTTGTACCTGTACAATACAAATTAACTTTGACTTTTGCTAAAATCCGCCAACTGACCTAACTCCATGGACCTAATCAATACAGGGGCTCAAATTATGGTTACACCTGGGGTATCAACTAAATTTAAACATTTTACTCTCTGTTATCTTAGAATAATACATGTAGAGAAAAAGAAGTATGCCTCACTTTAACTGGAGCCTTGCCTAAATTTGCCATAGTCATGGTACTCACTGCCTTAAAACAACCCATATTGAGCACAGATGCTGTAACAGAAGCAAAATTAAATTAAATTGAATATTTAGCATTTGTAATTGGCTTCGTAAAATGGGATCTCAGAAACGCTCAGGTAATTAATTACATGGACCAATCTATATATTGGATCATAGTAATAGAGTCTAACATATATTATGAATTTTTTAAAAGATTTTATTTGTTTATTCATGAAAGACACAGAGAGGCAGAGACACAGGCAGAGAGAGAAGCAGGCTCCTAGAGGGGAGCCCAATGTGGGACTCGATCCCAGGACCCTGCCGGGGTCATGACCTGGGCTGAAGGTGAAGGCAGATGCTCAACCACTGAGCCCCCCAGGCACCCCATAGAGTCTAACGTACATTAAAAAGGGATTTCTAGGATTAAAATCTATTATATCAAAACTAGTTAATAAAGAGGTGATTATCCCCATCATTTCTCCATCTGATAGCCTAATTTTTCCTGTTCTTAAATCTGGAAAAAATAAAGTGTGCCTCATGGTGGAAGACTATGAATAAATAAATACATATATACATAAGTACATACACACGTGCATGCATACATATATACAGAAGGTGTGTAGTCTGTGTGTTTACACACAAATAGGCTGGAGACAGAGACAGACATACACACAAGTGTGGAAAGGGGGGGGGAGGGATTTATTTAAATGCTCCATATAGTACTGTCTGAAGTAGGGAAAATTTGAAACAAACTCAAGGATCATCAACTGAGGACTGCTCAAATCTGGAAAACTGTATGACCATTAGAAAGATAAAAGTGGGTCTTTGTAATGAAATGGCACTAAATTATGTGATCTGCTTTAAGCACAAAAACAATAGGTCGCCCAAATCAGGGTTTATTAAATGAGGTTTCATCCTCCTGGCACACAAGGATAAAAACAACTGCAGAATCAGAATTCCTAGGGTCACAGCTGAGTCTCCCCAAATTCTCAACAGTGTGGCTTGGACCAAGTCACTTAACCCCCTGGTGCCCCAGTGTGTATCCACAGATGGAACACAGCACTGTCTACAAACCACACAGGTTTGTTGTGGGGACTAAAAGAGTAGAATACACGTAAAGCACTTCCGACAATGCCTTGCACAAGCACTGCATGCGTTTTATTGTTAGTAGAACTACACCCTAAAAACACAGCGCTGCCTGGCACCGATGAGCGACGCTCATCGTTCCTATCAACTAGCATTCATCTGAGGCACGGCCATAGTTGTCAGTTTACACCTACGAGATTACAATTGGTATAGACAAGACCCCTGAAATAACAAGATGGAGAAAACTATGTAACAAAACAAAAGTGAAGCATGACTGATTCAGAAGTTGAAATAAATTTTCGCCTAAAAAAGTTAATATAGTTTCTCATAAAAAAAATTTTGTCTTTCTTTGGATATATGGGATAGTGGTTTTTTCAGTGACCCAAATTGTCAGGAAACCACTAATAATTCTGCCATTTGTTGTGCAACTCAGCTGTGACAGGAGGGTACTTTAGTTCCCTATCGCTACTGTAACAAATCACCACAAATACAGTAGCATCAAATGGCACCAATTTATTGTCTTGCAGTTCTGGACAACAGAAGTCCAAAGTGACTCTTAAAAGGATCAGGGTGCATTCCTTCTGGGAGCTCCAGGTGTGCCATCTCCAGCTTCTAGAGGCCCTCTCCTCCATCCTCCAAGAAACCCCCTGAGACCTCTCCCTCCACCCTGAGGTGTCCTTAACTGCCGCTGACCCTCACGCCTTCTCTTCTAAGGACCCTGTGATGACACTGGGCCTGCTCAGCTACTTCAGGATTATCTCCTCCTGTCGAGATCCTCAGCCTATTGATATGTGCAGAGTCCCTTCTGCCACCTTTGAGGTAGCACATTCACAGGTGCTGGCGAGCGGACATGTGCCTCCGGGAGGGGCACTACTCTCTCCACCACACGTGGGCCTCCAGGAGAGAGGAACTAACAACCTTTGCTCAGGCTGTTCTCCTGGCCACTCCATTATCAACCCAGCTCTCCCAATCACAAACTCCCAGAGATCAAACTGCTTTTAGAAAAAGATTTTACAGTGGCATTTCACGCTCCTGTCTGGGTGCCGGCAGTGAGCCATCAAACATGAAACTCAGAATTGAAAAGCAGTGCAGACTATGATATCGTAATAATCTGAAAACGTGATTTCTATGACCCCTATTTTCATTCATTGGCTTAAATTTGTGTGTTCATGTCAACTTTCCCCTGAAAAAAAAAAAAAAAAAAAAAAAACAAGACCCGCCCTCACCACTAACACTTTAGAGAGAACTTTGTAAAATACAGGAAAGCAGGAATTTTTCTTTAATAAGAAGACTAAAAATGACAAAGTGCCTTTAAGACAAATGTAAAGGTATTTAAATATTTGAAAACATTAAAAAAGTTAAAATACAACTAAAATGCACTTCTTACCATATATAAGATATTTTAGTTGAATATTTTTAACAATTTCTTCCACAGTTGGTTTGTATTCCAGGAAACACGTGTACACGCCACTCATGCCCTCCTCAAAGTTCTGGAATACAAGGCTTCCTGTGGATGTTACTTGTGCAGTGCTGTTCTCTAATAAAGGAACAAGACATGGTCTTCAGTTGCTTAAGTTATAGGACACTGAGATAAAATGACAAAACATTTTCTGAACAGAGCAAAACCATCAAAATGTACTTATAGAATCACAGAAAGCAGTAGGGGGCATAACTAGTCATTGCCTCTGGCGTCTGTTGGCAGCAGGTGCCAGGATGACCTGCTTAGTATCTGGTTTTTAGCAACCGGAGTTCACCTCCGGCGTGGCTGCCTACCTGGTAAGAGACTAACAATTACATGTACTTAGTGCACTTCTGATCTCCTTGCACTGACGTGGGGCCGATCAGAAATTCACAGAGTCTGAAAGCCGCAGACATCCGCATACACTATAAAGTAATCACATATACACGTATTTTACCGAGGAGTTATGCCCGCCCTAAGCTTACAAACTGCAACCTACATGTGAGAGGGAGGAATGCACCCAGAACCAAGGCTAACCCGACATACTCACTGGCAACTAGGTACTTCTGGTCATTACATGTGACAGCAGGCAAAGGCTAGACCACAGCCTTAAGTGTTGCTCAAGGAAGAAAACAAAGTAGATGGGGTCACCCAACTTGTCTGAGGTCCCACAAGCACAGAGTTGCAGTGTGGAGAATTAGGACTGGATGGAAAAGTGCTTCTATACTTCAGTATCACACTGGGAGAAAGCAATGATGTGTGACGAGGGAAAGAATGTGATGTAGAGGCTTCAGAGGTGGGTTTTACGGCTGCCTTTCTTTCTCATGAACGCTGGAATCCTGGGGTGATCCTTTAATCTTCCTGGAGTCCAGTTCCCTCATTTGTGAAACAAAGAATCTTAATACATGATGGCATCCCTCACAGGATTGTTTTCTTGTGACAAATGCAACAGCTGTTAAAGTACTTAACAAAGCTACAAATTCTGAAGCAACTCAAGTTGTCATTCTGAAAGTTCATAACCAGGTTTCCATTGGAAAATCATTATATTAAAACTCATCCAATAATTTAATATGCCATTCATTGAATGAAAAGTATCATCCTAGTGAATGAATGCTTGTTTAGCTTTTTCTACTTTAAGCAAATAACATTATAAATTTCAAGTTAAATTTATTTCGGATATATTTATTTCCTCAAAATAAGACAAAAGATGAATATTCTTAGGAAATTTTCAATGTTAATTTGCTCAATAAAAATGTGTTGGATTTCTAGTACATGCAAAGCTGTACTACAGATACTGAAGGGAAATAAATAGATGGATATATTCCCCTTCAAGGAATTTACACAGAGTATTATGCCTTAAGTAATCCTATTTCCATATCCTGGATGAAGCTGAAAAAGGATTACAAATTGGGACTATGTTTCTTTTTTTTTTTTTTTAAGATTTTATTTATTTATTCATGAGAGACATGGAGAGAGAGGCAGAGACTTAGGCAGAGGGAGAAGCAGACTCCATGCAGGGAGCCCGACGTGGGACTGAATCCCAGGACCGTAGTATCACACCCTGAGCCGAAGGCAGATGCTCAACCACTGAGCCACCCAGGTGTCCCAGGACTATGTTTCTACTGCAATGCTTATTTATGAATATTTTTAATGAAAGATTACATATTTATCATAACATGTCTCTTTTCTAAGACAGATTAACAAGTTTTTAAGTGTTTGCTATATATTTCAGCACAAATACTTGATAGTAAGTATGATAAAAGATGCCCATATAAATCAAGGAAGAAAAATGCCGTATGATTTCACTCATTTGTGGAATTTAAGAAACAAAACAAATGAGCATAGGAAAAAGTAGAAAGAGAGAGACAAAATAGGAAATCGACTCTTAACTCTAGAGAACACACTGAGGGTCACCAGAGGGGAGGTAGGAGGGGGATGGATGAAATGGGTGATAGGGGTTAAGTTAAGGAGGACACTTATGATGAGCACTGGATATTGTATGGAAGTGCTGTATCACTACATTGTACACCTGAAACTAATACTACCCTGTATGTTAACTAAGCGGAATTTAAATGAACACTTAAAAAAATAAGAGTTAATACCTATTCTTCTCAAACTATAAAGAAAATTAAAATTGCCATATTAGGACAGCCAGAAAATCAAGAAGCATATGATCCATAATAAAATACCCTTTCACCTTATTTTTAAAAACTTAAAAGTGGCACACTAAAAGATACCCAGAAGATTTCATAGCCAATAGGAAAAGCCATTGTGTAAATAACAATTCAAATGATTCTTAAGTAACTAAGTTTAAATGAGAATTTCATGATGCCAGGGATAGTACTGTAACAATTCATACAACAGCATATAGTCAGTGAATAATTGAATTAAAGTCAGTACTACTTTACAACTTAGTTTGGTCATCTAAAAATTCAGAGTTGGATTAGATTTCCAGAAATCCATGTTTTAGAGCTCTAAAATTAGATGGCAAATTTAAAGCACTTTCATTACAACTTATTATTTTGAAAAATAGGTCTACACTTTTGGTTTCTGCTCAGTTATGGAAATTGACTATGAGAACATCGATCCCACTATTGCAGTAAGGAAAAAGATAAACTGTCAATTAACAACTTTTCTTGAACCTATCAAAAAATCAAGGTGGGAAGGCAACCAAAAACCTAAAATCTGGGGATAAACAGCAACCTATAAATAGAAAAAGGACCCAAGCATTTAAGAAGACTCAGCTAGGGAAATCTGGGTGGCTCAGTGGTTGGGGCTGCCTTCGGCTCAGGGCATGATCCCTAAAGTGAACAAATTCTTTAAAAGATACAAAAACTCACAAAATGGTAAAGAAGGGAAAATCCTTTTCCTACCTCATTTAGATTGTACCTGTTAATAACTCTGAAGCCAGACTTCAAAGCCACATGACTTCAGATAAGTACCTTCTTCTCTCAATGCCTCTGTTTATCATATACAATGGAGCATATGATTGTACTTACTAAAGAGGGCTGTCCAAAAAATTAAATAACTAGGATGTGTAAGTGCATCTGTGGATGTATTTAGGTATGTGACAAATGCATAAAGAAAAGCTAGGGAATAATACTGTAAAAATTCAAGGTAGTGTTTATCTAAAAGGGATTTGGGGAATAGAAGAACAGGATTTTTAAGGAACGTATCTGGAGGTGCAAACCAACAGTCTTGGTAATGATATATCCTGACTTGTAGGTTCTAGAATGTTTGTTTTATTGTATGTCTAACCTGCATATATCTTATATACATTTATATATATATATATATATAGATATAGATATAGATATAGATATAAAATGCTTCATTCCATAAAAAATAGTAAGGTAGAATAAAATATACTAGCATCTCATTAAAAATAAGAGTGTAGTTACAGGATAAAATTTAACATGTGCGTTTATGTGTTTATAGATGTTCAGAAAAGTGGGAAAGTCCACACACCAGAACGAGTTAACTCATCAGAATGAAGGAAGGCTGGCATAAGAGGTACAGGTCTTTTTGCAAAAAAACTGACTATGTTTTTAAATAAAAAATATTGAAAGAGGGGTGCTGGGTGGCTCAGTCAGTTAAGCGTCCAACTCTTGATTTTAGCTCAGGTCATGATCTCAAGGTCACGAGATTGAGCCATGCATTGGGCTACACACAAGCATGGAGCCTGCTTGGGATTCTCTCTCTCCTTCTCCCTCTGCCCCTCCCCTGCTCATGTATGGTCTCTCTCTCTCACTCTTAAAAAATAGAAATTGAAAGAGAAACTGGGGGCTGAGAGAGAAAAGGAAAATAGGGAGAGGGAAGGAGAGAGAGACCAAATCTAAGATTGGTCTCCTATATTTTACAATCCATCTAAGCAATCTGAATATTTCTCTCCACGGAAATGTGCAAGTAATTACATAATTACATTTCTTTTGTTCGATTTCTGGGAAACTATCTTTGGGATACTCATAAAAAGATAACTAAGCACAGTGCAGTTTAACCTAAAGTCTAAAGAGATTCTCCATTTTTCAAGCTTAGGAAAATTAGACAACATTTCCAGTTCAAATGATAACTAATGAGCTTTAAAACTGATGGACAAGTGAATTATGATGCAATCATATACTGCAAACTAAAATATGATCATGACGTCAGAATACCAGAAATTCCTAAGAATAGTTTTCATAAATAAAAAAACACTGCATTAATATTTTATCCTTACATGAAAATAACTACATTTTTGTAGTTATTACGTATAATTCATATTAGAACATTATTTTTTTTTAAAGATTTTATTTATTTATTTTTTAATTTTTTTTAAATTTATTTATGATAGTCACAGAAAGAGAGAGAGAGAGAGGCAGAGACATAGGCAGAGGGAGAAGCAGGCTCCATGCACCGGGAGCCCGATGTGGGATTCGATCCCGGGTCTCCAGGATCACGCCCTGGGCCAAAGGCAGGCGCCAAACCGCTGCGCCACCCAGGGATCACAAAAGATTTTATTTATTTATTCATGAGAGACACACACACAGAGAAAGGCAGAGACACAGGCAGAGGGAGAAGCAGGCTCCATGCACCGGGAGCCCGATGTGGGATTCGATCCCGGGTCTCCAGGATCACACCCCGGGCTGAAGGTGGCGCTGAACTGCTGAGCCACCAGGGCTGCCCAGAACATTAATTAATTTTGTAGTTATTCCATGTAATTCATATTGGAACATCTATTTTCCAATATGAAAGTGAGTAAAATAAATTATTGCTCCTAGTTGAAGGATTCAAAATTCAATCATATGCTATCCTTTGTAATATAAACTACAAGACTGGCATGGCCTCTTGGAGAAGAAAATGTTTAGACTGCAATCCCCAAATCAAAGGAGCAACAAATTACAATAGAACAATACTTAAATTCTTCTGTTTCTGAGCTAACAGAGTTGTAACATCAAACTTAAACTATATTTAGCATACAGATGTGTGCTACATTATGTGCTACTATTACAGAGCAGTAAAAATAAAATCCAATATATTTTCACTACTGGATGCTTTTATACCTGGCCCATTTCATGGATTTATATTAAGTGCCCAATCTCTTAGGATTTCTGCCATTGATCTCTGCTAATTCCCTCTGCCTGCATCACTACAGTCAGGCAGATATATTAGATTTGATCTTTGAATTTCTGTCAAAGCCTAGCACAATGGGACCCACCAGGCAGTCATTCATTAGGGGCTGAGTAATTCACTCTAAAGGACCACACCTAAAGAGAGGGTACCTCTTCAAACCTTGAGCTACTTTAGAATCCACATAAATATTATAGTAATATACAGGTGAGATCATTCAAATGTATAAAAATATGAATTAGCAAATTACAAAATAAATACTTCCAAGGAATGTTTCCTCAGCAAGGGCTGGTATGAATATACTGCTTTCCCTCAACTCACATAACAAAATAAACCTGTAGGTTTTTGCCCATAGGCACTGTCTCAAAATACCAATAGGGTTTTAAAAAAAAAAAAGAAAAAACAGAAAGGAAGAAAATGTGGTAAACAGAGCAATAAAGAAAACTTCCTCAGAAGGTATGCAAAAATAATTAGGTGTTTCACTAAACAGATCTTTAGGATGAAAATTCATTAAGCTGGATATTTATCAAGGCTGAAAACAAGAACAGCTAACATAATTTAATATTTTTTAAACCATGCTGCAAAAACAAATCAGCTTTTAGCAAATGAAAAATTAGAATAAAAGTAAGATATGCATTTCAAGAAAACAAAAGCAGCTGAGTAAAGAAAATGTTGATCAGTCATATCAACAGTAATCTCCACGTGGAAAAAAGTACCTTTGTGAGAATAAGATCTTGTTTCCTCAAAAATTTTTCGAAAACTGTAAGGCAATATCATTCAGATGGGTTTCGAGTTTACTTTCTCATCTGGATGAATACCTGAATACTAAATTCCTTCTTTTGTAAACACAGCACCAATAATATATTAGTACACAATTGTTGTCACTCCATGCAGCGTATCTAAAAGCATGTTTTTAATACTAAAATACTGTGTTAAATTTAGTCTTTTTTTAATGGAAATATTATTTAAGTTAATTCAAGTATAATCCACATTGGTATGGATTTTAGTCAGAGAGAAATATAAGACCAAAAAGTGTAAATCTCTACTAGGAAAGTCTCAAGTTGTCCCTATATGGGGCTGCAGAAAAACAAATAAAACCGTATTTGTAAATTTGCAGCTCAAAAGGCTTGTTAGTATTTTTAACAAAAACCAGAACTATATCAGCTTCTTCATAGCCACTTGATTAACTCTTAAGGTAACCCCAAATGACTTTATGAACTTAAAAAGTCACATTTTTGTCGAATATAGCTGCCTAGAGAATTTTCCAAACATTTAAGTCATCTAATGTGTCTCTCAGATTAAGATATGTGAAGAATGGTTACACTAGGCACACACCGTGAGACCCTCAATCCAAAGGGAAATTACAAGAAAAATACATGAGGAAACAGAAATAGATGAGATACGAATATTCTTATTCTGAGTATATTTTAGTATATTAATGTAATTATGATAATTGAAACAAAAGCCTACCTGAAATAATTCTTCCTTTTGGCCCATGCCATTGGAATGATGGATCAATCATTTCCGAATTCCGCAGCCGTGGGGTTACACATAACACGTGCGGACTCTTTTGATGGAGCATAACATATACTTTCACTGAAAATACAATATTAAAATGTTCCAATAATATTTTGTACTCTTTCATGCTCTATAATGCCTTAATTTGGTAGTCTGGGCTGCATGTTTTCATAACTTTTCTTTGGGGGATATTGCAATTACTTGATAAAAACTAAATTTCTAAAAAAAAAAAAACTAAATTTCTTTGCATTCCATGTAATAACACTCAAAAATATACACATGTATTTTATTTGAGCATGTGTATGTCTCAATCTGAAAATAATGCACTAGTTTTTTATGAAGAGCTCACCATACTAACTTATTTTATCCCCAGAATATGACTTTAATTACAAATTATTAAGACAATTAATGAATTAAGACTTGGTTTTTGCAATGATACCAAACATGAAAGGAACCAATAAATTTGTTTAAATTAGAGGAATAGATTATTCATATTGATGTGACCCAAAGTACTCAATTTAAAAATTATGTGTGTAAAAACTCAATAAATTACGCTATGGTTTTATTTATTAAGCATTTTTCCCACTTTAAGATTTAAAGGTTTTGATCACTAACCATGTAAAAATAGTATCTTTAGGATACAAAAGGAATGCAGTAACAATTCAATTATCCTGAATTTGCTAAGTAAGCTGTTAGAAAAGTTCCAGTAATTCCTCAGTAATTGCATGCTGACTCTTCACTGATTCATCAAATACAGAAATTTTGTGATTCAATAAAATAAAATTGTACTTGAGAATTGAAATTCCTAACTTTAAATAGAGACTGTATCTCTCATGTTTTACCATATATTCAGATGTTCACTGAATGTAGTTTTTTTTTTCTTTAAATTCAATCTGCCAACAATAGTATAACACCCAGTGCTCATCACATCACATCACAAATGTAGGTTTTAGATAGATACTACTCCGTAGGTTAAGAAAGTTACCCTGTATTCTTGGTTATTTGTTTTTATCATTAATTGCTGTTGAATTTTAACAATTCTTTCTATACTGAATGAAATGATTGTTTTTTGCTTCTTGAATATTTTATTTTATTTTTTTTTATTTATTTTTTTTTTTTTGTAATCAATGATTTTTTTATCTTTGAAAATGGAAGCAAGTGTTTTGACAGAATACTATGGCCGCTCTATAAGAGCCGATCTAGGAGTAATTCACTGGTTTTCCTCTGGGATAGCACGGCTTTAAAAAGAAAGAAAAGAAAGAAAGACAAAACAGGAAGGATAATCCACAAACTTCAGGCGCTGACTTTGAGCCTGGCTGGGCACCCGTTCATTAAATAAGTCATAAGCTACGCACTAAGATCAGGATAATTTCTCCTTGCCCTCCGTCTTCTCTTTGAACCACATTCCCTATGGTGTTCCACCACCAACAATTTTGTTTACTTAATTTGATATCAGAATCTTAAAACATTTCTGAATCCTTAAAATGAAGCTTCTTGAATATTTTAATGGAATGATTGATAATACTATTGCTTTCCTGGAATAATTCTAACTGATCATGCTCTTTTATTCAAATACTGCTGGATTCAGTGGTGCCTGATGGATAAGCGTCAACTCTTGGGTTTCAGCTCCGGTCATGATCTCATGGGTCATGAGATCAAGTGCCATACCAGGCTCCTGTTCAGCAGGGAGTTGGCCTGAGATTCTCTTCCTCTGCTCCTCCTACCTTATGCGCATACCTCTCTCTCTCTCTCAAATAAATCAATAAACAAATAATAAAAAATACTGTTGGATTCAATTTGTAAATATTATTCCTGGGATACTCGTACCTACATTCAGAAATACAACTGTGTATAATTTTTATACTATCTTTTGTTCTTTTCCAATTTTATTACTAAAGTTACAATTTAATAATGCTTAAGGAAGGTGTCCAAAGTTATAATAGCCACATAATATTGACTGGGCAGATCTTCCTCTGTAAATTTCTTTGAAAGAATATGGAAAGAGTTTTTTGTCCTTAGAAAACTATTTAGCCTGGTTCGTTCATTCATTCTTTATTTATTTGTAATAGAAAAAAATATGAAAACAAATTTTTGATTACCAATCAAGAGGATGTAATTGATTATTAGTCTTCTAAGTAACTTAAGTCTGTTTTATAAGTTTATCAGCATAAAATCATTCAAAATACCACGTTATAAAATATAAAAATCAGCATATCTTTACTTGGAACATTTTTTTTTGTACTTTCATTACTCTCCTGAAAACATTTATCAAAAGCTCATCTACTAACTGTTCCAAAGACAGAGTTTAGTTCCATTCAACTTATTGTTGTTCTCTGGTCTCTTTCATTAATTCCTCCTTTTATTTCTTCCCTACTTGCCTCAGCTAAATTCCACTTCTTTTTTCTAACTTCTTAGATACATGCTTATTGTATACAGTTGTCACTCCTCAGCATGACTTACTGGCTCTTCTGGGCATGATCTTTTACATCTCTCTCATTACACTTCTTTTCATATCACTTGCTCCAACCATGCCAAACTACTCAGCCCTCCCTAAAGCAGCACATTGAACCACTCCTCTGTGCTTTTACTCAGGTAAGTATCCAAATGCCTCCTCATCTGTAGAAAATCAGCACAGGTATAACGTTCCTGCTTCGTCTGTGACAAAACAAATAACTCATGCCATGCCTATGTCCTTCCCTCTAGTCTCTACTAACCTCTTTAAATCAAAGAAGATATAAGTGAACTGCGAAGTTTCCTAACACAACATCAACATACACAAGTAAATAGCACCTCATTCATCAATAATGTATTAAGCCATGTAATAAAAAAAGAAGATAACATTTAGAGAACAATAAACAGAAGTTAATTGATAATCAAACAAGGCCACTGGGGGAATATCCTCAGACTCCAGCAAAAGATGTACAGCTAGACCAGAATGCCATAATCACGGGACTGTACACTTATGATTAATTTTAAAGATGCCAATTTATCTTCATGTTGATATAATTAATATTGACAGAAGCAAACTCCCAGAACAGTCTTTTTTTTTTGTAGTTCATGTTTATTTTTTATTGAAGTATACTTGATAATGTCACATTAGTTCCAGGGGTACAACACAGTGATTCGACCACTCTCTACATTACACTGTGCTGAGCACAAGTGTAGCTCCCATATTTCACCAGACAATGCTCTTACAATACTGATGACTACATCCCCGCCGCTGTACCTTTTATCCCCGTGACTAACTCATTCCCTAACTGGAGACCTGTATCTTCCCCTCCCCTTCACCCTTATGCTCATTCCCCTTTATCCCTCCCCTATGGAACCCATCAGTTTGTTCTCTGTATTTATTATGGATCTATTTTATAATTTAGGTTTAAAGGCTGTAGTGTTAAAAGCTATGATAAAAGTTGTGTTATCCACGAAAATGGCTAGATAAGGAACTAAAAATTATCTCCCTCATAAAGGTAATGCAAAAACTGACAGAAATTGTCAAGATCAACATTTTCAGAACTCTGGAAATTAAAGATTTACAGCAACCTGTGAAAAACTTATTCAAGAAAAACAACTGACTCTTCGCATGATGGGGTGATTTATGCCTCTCCCCAAGTATGTAGTTTGAGCCCTAATCCTCGTACCTCAGAATGTGACCATAATTTTGACACAGAATCTTTACAAAAGTAATTAACTTAAGATGGGCTCATTATGGTGAGCCCAAATCCAATATGACTGGTGCCTTATGAAAAGGGAAAATCTGGACACACATACAAATACAGAGGGTACATGACGTGAAGAGACCTTAAACGGAGCTGACCACCCACGAGCCAAGGAAGAAGAACTGGAACAGACCCTTCCCTCACAGCCCTCAAACAGAACCAACCCTGCCTCCATGTGAACTTCTGGCCTCATAATTGGGAGACAATACATTTTGTTTAATCTACCCAGTCTGCGGTAATTTGTTAGGAGGGCCTCATGGGCTGGCAGCATCGTAAATTTCCCCATTCCCATCACCCCCCAGCTCTGCCCTTCTGCCCTCGCTCTGACAACCACCACGCCAATCACTGTAAGAACCAGCAGCCTGGCAGCTACTAAAGGGGCAAACAGGGTTGGAGGGACTTCAAGGCCTCCTTCCCAAAGAACTGTCTTTATTTGACTTCTTTGGCAGTTTCCTGGAAGACACTACTCACAAGCCTGTCTTCATTTATCTAACTCAAAGCACAGCCACTGTACAAACCTTTTCCCAAAAAGTATTTTTTCAAAAATAACTAGATGCTTTCATTTAACTTTGAAATGCCTGATGCAGTGGGTAACAGCTGGCTAACCAAAAAGCTAGAGAGGAAAAGCTGGGAATGACATGTCCACAGGGGCTCTGAAAAGTTCTAACATATTTCTGGGAAAATAGAAGGCCACATGCATGCACTGAGCATGCTCCGTCAAGACTGAGACTTAAGTTTGTACCTTCAGCTGAAACCAGTGCTCTGCACAACAGACAGTAAAGAACAGAGTTATCGACCGCTTAGCTAAATGTTTAGGGTGTGTGACAACAAGCATGCAAACACCCTCAGCAGAGAACAGATTAATGAGCTCCAGGTGTCAATAAAATCTCCATCCAATAATCAGCCTATGCTAACTGAGAAGAGACTTCAGTGGCTACACATAAGTATAACTTAAGTAGTTCAGAAAAGTTGTTAAACTTACCAACAATAACAATAAACACCAAAAACATTTATACCTTATTTCCAGAATTCCTATATTAAATTATTTAAAAAGTCCAGTTTTCAACCAAAATATGAAACATGCAAAAAAAAAAAAAAAAACCAAAAAAACAAAACCCAAGTATTATCATAGGTAGGGGAAAAATGAAAGCAACCAAAAGAAACTGCCCCTGAGGAAGCCCAAATTTAGGATTTACTGAACAAACGTTTTAAATCAGTTGTTTTAAATATGATCAAACAACACCTAAAGTACCAAAAAAAAAGTGTGAAAATGATCTCTCTCAAAAAAAAATCAATAAAGAGACAGAAGTTACATATATATATATTATATAAAAAAAAGAACCCAAAGGAAATTCTGGATTAAAAAGTACAATAAAAATTTGAAAACCCCACTATAAGAAACAAAAACAGATCTAAAGAGGCAGAAAAAAAGAATCGGCAAACCTCAAGATATATCAATTTGTGATTATTCAGTCAAAGAGGAAAAAAATATACAGATAAATGAACAATACCCAGAGACCTGTAGGTAACCATCAAGCACAGCAGTGTATACATAATACAAATTCCATGGAATGGTGGAGAATATAAAGGCACAAATAATACTTGAAGAACTAATGGCAAAACTTCCACAAACTGATGAAAGGCATGAATCTACATATCAAAGAAGCTCAATGAACTCAAACTAGGATAAATTCAGAGATCCATATCTAGACACATAATAGTCATTGTTAAAGTCTAAAAAGATGACTCTTGAAAGTGACAAGAAAAGCAACTTGTTGCATACACATGATCTTCAAATTAGTGGCTTATTTCTCATCAGAAACCATAAATAAAAAACAAAGTCTGAATAGACCTAAGCAAGCGAAGTGACTAAATTAGTAATTACAAATCTTCCTATTAAAAAAAGCCCAGCACCAGGTGAATTCACTGATGAATTTCACCAAAGAAGTCAAGTCAAATCAACAACACCTCACAAGCTCTTAAAAAAAATCAGAAGAGGAAGAAACATGTCCTAACTTGTTCTATGAAGCCACTATTACCCTAAAACCAAAATCAGACAAAGACAACACAAGAAAACACAGAAAAATTTCCCTTATGAATACAGATGTAAAAATCCTCAGGATAGTAGCAGCCAATCCTGCAGCATGAAAAAGAATTATCCATCATAATCAACCAGGATTTATCCCAGGAATGCATGACTTATTCAAAATACCAAAATCAATCAATGTAACACTGAATTATATCAATAGAACACAGGACAGAAAACACTGGATCATCTATGTATGCTGAAAAAGGATTTGACAAAATCCAAAAACTTTTCACAATAAAAGCACTCAACCAACTAGGAACAGAAGGAACATTCTCAATTTCAAAAAGCATCTACAAAAAACTCAGAGCTAAGGTCATATTCAATAGCAAAAGACCGAAACCGTTCCTTCTCTCTAACTAACATCAGGAGTAAGATAAGGATATCTGTTCTCATCAGCACTGAACTGCAGGTTCTGGCTGGAGCAACTGGCAAAAAAAAAAAAAAAAAAAGCCAATAAATGATTCAGCAAGGTGACAGGATACAACAACCACATGAAAAATTCAACTGTATTTCTACGGAACAGCAATGAGCAATTAAAAACCTAAATAAAACTGTTCCATTTACAACAGCATCAAAAAGAATAAAATACTTAGGAATAAATCTAACAAAAGTGGTGCAAGACTTGTACACTGAAAGCTCTAAAACACCACTAAGGGAAATTAAAGATCTAAGTAGATGGAAAGATACTCCAAGTCCATGAATTGGAAAAGCTAATAGGGTTACGTTGGTTGTACTCCCAAAATTGATTGACACTTCAATGCAATCCTTACTAAAATCCTAATGGGATTTTCTACAGAAATGGACAATCTGATTCTAGCATTAATATGGATTTACAAGAAACCCAGCATGGCCAAAACAATCTTGAAAAAGACTGAATTTGAAGGACCCTGACTTAATGATTTCTAAACTTACTGTAGAGCAAAAGAACTCAAGACAGTGTCATACTGTCATAAGGACAGACCTAGAGATCAATGAAATAGAATTTAGAGTCCAGAATAAAAACCCATACATCTAATGTTTTTCAACAAGGCATCAAGACAAGTGAACAGAAAAAGAAAGTCTTTTGACTTTTCTTTGTGTGACACACACATATGTATATAAACACACACACACACACACCCTACATCTTCTTTATCTATTCATCCATCAATGGACAAATTTGGGCTGTTTACAAATGAAGAAAGGAAAAAAAATAAGGGAGGCAAACCAAGAAAGAGACCCTTGACTATAGAAAACAAAGAGATAGTTACCAGAGGGGTGGTAGGAGGAGGGGTAGAGAGATAGGTGAAGGGGATTAAGAGCACCCTTATCGTGTGTGATGAGCACTAAGTAACGTACCGGATGGTTGAATCACTATATTGTATACCTGAGACTAATATAACACTTCATGTTAACTATGTTGGAATCAAAATTTAAAAATCAAAAAAAAATTTAAGTGAAAACATAATCCACAGAATTGAAGAAAAATTTTGTAAATCAAACGAGGGTTTAGTGACCAGAATGTTTAAAAAAAAAAAAAAGTCCAACTCAATACTTTTTTTGGAAAAAAAACCCACTGAATTAAAAAATGGGTAAAAGATCTGAATAGAAATTTCTGCACAGAAGATACTCAAATGTCTGTTAAACACATGAAAAAATCTTAATCATCATTAGACATTATGGAAATGCAAATCAAAACCACATGACAATCCACCTCACACACACTAGATGACTATAATCAAAAAGATAAAAAACAGAAAATGTTGTTGGCAAGGATGATGTGAAATTTGAATCCTCATCCATTGCTGGTGTGAAAGTAAAATATTAAAGGCTCTTTAAAAAAAGTTTGACAGTTCCTCAAAATGTTAAACATAGAGCTACCCGACGTTCTAGGTATATATATTCACGAGAAATAAGTTAGAATTGAGTTCACACAGAAGCTTCTTCAGGAATGTTGGCAACGGCATTGTTGGTAATAGCCAAAAAGTGGAAACTACCCAAATATCCACCAATTGATGGATACACAAAAAGTGGTATATCCATACAATGGAATATTATTCAGCCCTGAAACAGAACGATGTGCTGATACATCCTATGACATGATAAACCCCCGAAACACTGTAAGTGAAAGAAGCCACATGCAAAGCACCACATCACATATGATTCCACCTATATAAAATGTCCGGAACAGGAAAATTAATAGTGATAGAAAAATCAGTGGTTTCCAGCCTTGGAGGGTGACTGCTTACAGGGTACAGCCTTCCTTGCTGGAGCTGTCAAAGTGCTATGGTAATACATGGTGATTGCTGCAAAACCCGTTGCCAGTATGCTAAAAACCACTGGAATGTGCACTTCAAGGAGGAATTTTAAGCATGTAAATTGACTTCAGTAAAAAAAAATAAAATAAACTTTTAGTGCCTCTCATGTGTGTCCTGGAAAAGCTCATGAATCCAAAACCTTTACGACATACAGATCTCATCTGCAAAGACTCTCAGCATATTCAAACTGCGTAAGTTCAATATTATGGCTAATAATCACAAGTGGAGGAATAAAACTACACGGAAAAACCTCTAATACATCTCCATCCCAGGAGACCAGGATGTCTGGGGAACGTCAGCCTTTGGGACGGGGCTGATAAATCTAAACAAATGTTAACTACTTTCTTAAAATGACTGAAGGTCTATTTATTCATACCTGGAAAACTGGATGATCCCACAATTTTCACCGTTTCTTGGGTCAAGCGAAAACCTCTTGGAAATCGAATGAAATATCCGACTATGAAAAACAAGAAGGCAAGATCAGCAACGTGCCTGGTCAGAAGCTGGGGCACCGCAGCGGTGGGTGTGGCAGTCCCCGCGGCCGGGTCACCGGGGAAGGCGCGGCCTCCTCCGCCTACTCCCCCGAGATTCACCTCTTCCTGCTTCCCCGCTATCGCCCGCCTCCAGGGTCTCCACAACCACCTGCAATACCCATTTTCAAATGCCCACCTGGGGACCCGCACCTGGGGACCCGCACCTGGGGACCCGCACCTGGCGACTCACTCAGGTCACCAGGGCCTCCCCCTCCAGCCCCCTCACCCCGTGGCCCCGCCCCTCCAGCTGCTCTAACCACGTGGCCCCGCCCCTCCAGCGGCTCTAACCCCGTGGCCCCGCCCCTCTAGCTCCCTCACCTCGTGGCCCCACCCCTCCAGTTGCTCTAACCCTGTGTCCCTGCCCCTCCAGCTGCTCTAACCCCGTGGCCCCGCCCCTCCAGCACCCTCATCCCGTGACCCGGCCCCTCCAGCGGCTCTAACCCCGTGTCCCTGCCCCTCCAGCTGCTCTAACCCCGTGGCCCCGCCCCTCCAGTCCCTCACCCCGTGGCCCCGCCCCTCCAGCCCCCCTCACCCCGTGGCCCCGCCCCTCCAGCGGCTCTAACCCCGTGGCCCCGCCCCTCGAGCCCCCTCACCCCGTGGCCCCGCCCCTCCAGCTGCTCTAACCCCGTGGCCCCGCCCCTCCAGCCCCCTCACCCCGTGAAGCCCGCGGCCTGCCCTGGTCCCGTCTCCAGCCCCTCCCTCCGGGCACGTGCTGTGCCCCGGCCTACGGGTCCCTCGAGCGCCGGCAGGGTCTCCCACTGCGTCAGCAGTCCGCGGGGCCCGGGCCCGCCGTGACCCCCCTTGACCAGCACGCACCCTGCGCGTGGCACAGACCGCGTAGGGCTCGGGTACGATACGCGCTCACGTTCGTGGGGCCAGTGCTGCCGGGCACGCGGACTAGCAGCGGCAGCAGCAGCAGCGCAAAGCACAGCACCGGCCCCAACAGCGCGGAACACGGGGCGGCGAGTGTCCTCGGGGCCGGGAGGCCGCTGCCTGCCCTAGGAAGGTCCCCGTAGGCTCTCGGATCCCCGGGGTTGGGGGGGGGGGCTCAGCGGTGCGGCACCCGCTGGGGCGCAGGGCGTGACCCCGGGGTCAGGAGCCCGAGTCCCGCACGGGGCTCCGCGGGGCGCCTGCGTCTCCATCCGTGCATCCACACGAGTCTTACAGGCACGCGCGGCTCCAGCATCTCGCGCTCCCCGCAAGCGGGGGCCTCGGCGCGCTCAGTCCCCGCCGGCCCGGCCGCCCTCCCGCAGGCCGTGAGCCCCCGGAGCCCCCCCTCCCGCGCGTCCACGCGGACCGCGTGCTCCGAGGTCAGCTGCGGCTCCGGGCCTCGGAGGAGCGGACGGACGGAGGGACGGGGGCCCCGCACGGTCCCCGGCGCCTCCGCGGCTGGGCGGCGCCGACGCCTCACCTGGGGGGGACGCCCGCGCCACGAAGGCGGACAGCACGAGGCCGACCGCGGCCCAGCTGAGCGCGCAGCCCGCGCCCCGGGCCCGCCGCCAGCCCCGCCGCCGCCGCCGCCGGCCGGGGGCCGAGGCCTCCATCCGCTCGCCGCCGCTGCCCACCGTCGCCGCGGACGGTCGTTAGGCGGCGCGCGCGCACCTGCCCGCCGGAAGTCGGCGCGCCGCGGGCCGGAAGGGAGGCCGGAAGGACGGGCCGCCACTTCCGGCGGCGGGGGCGGGGCTTGCGCGGCTGCCGCGTGCGCGCGTCGGCCGACGCCGGGCCCGGAAGGTTCTCGAACCGGGCGGAGCGCGGCGGGATCTGGGGCCCCCCCGCTCGGCCCTGCGGCTGCAAGGATGGACGGGGCACGGCCGCGACCCGGGAGACGCGGGGACCCCGACCCCCACCCCGACGGCCGGGCGCCCGCGCCGCCCGCGCCCCCGACCCCGGAGCCTGCCTTCCGTGCGCCCGGGGGGCAGCGGCCGCCGCCCCTTGCTGACCTGCCGCCCCACGCGCCCTGGAGCCCGGCCCCTGCCTGCCTGCGCTGCCGCCACCGCAACCTCAGCTCCAGGAGAGGATGGAGGACGGAGGAGGAAGGGGAAGGAAGGGAGGAAGGAGAGAGGGAAGGAAGGAAGAAGGGGGAGGAAGGAAGGAAGGAAGGAAGGAAGGAAGGAAGGAAGGAAGGAAGGAAGGAAGGAAGGAAGGAGAGAGAAGAAGGGAAGGAAGGAAGGAACGGGAAGGAGGGGAGGAAGGAGAAGGAAGGAAGAGGAACGAAGAAGGAAGGAAAGGGAAGGAAGGAGAGGAAGGAAAAAGGATGGGGAAGAAGGAAGAGGAAGGAAGAAAGAAGGAAAAGGAAGGAAGGAGAAGGAAGGAGGGAGAAAGAATGGAGGAAGGGGAAGCAAGGGAGGAAGAAGGAAGGAAGAGGAACGAAGAAGGAAAGAAAGGGAAGGGAGGGGAAGGAAGAAGAAGGAGAAGGAAGGAAGGAGAAGGAAAGGAAGAAAAGAGAAGGAAAGGAAGGAAGGAGAGAGAAGGAAGGGGAAGGAAGGAACAGGAAGCAGGGGAAGCAAGGAAGGAAGGGAAGAAGGGAGGGGAAGGAAGAAGGGAAGGAAGGAGAGGAAGGAAAAAGGACGGGAAGGAAGAAGGAGAAAGGGAAGGAAGATGAAGGAGAAGGAAGGAAGGGGAAAGAAGAAGGGAAGGAAGGAAGGAAAAGGAAGAGGAAGGAAGGGGAAGAAGGAAGGGAAGGAAGAAGGGAAGGAAGGAGAGGAAGGCAAAAGGACGGGAAGGAAGAAGGAGAAAGGGAAGGAAGAGGAAGGAGAAGGAAGGAAGGACAGACGAAGAAGAGAGGAAGGAAAGAAACTGGAAAAGGAACAAGGCCTTTTTCTAGACCAGGATCAGGACGTTCCTGGAGTTTTCTGGCTCTGTCTGCAGATGTTAAATGTTTGGTGAACTGTCCACAGTGTGGTTTATTCCACTGAGTACATTTACATATTTAGAAATTCTTTCTGATTAAATTGTGCCGGAGCGTGCTTTAGTATGATTTGGATTAGCTGGCGTTGTGGTCAAGACCTTGCAGTTCCTTTGAGGACATCAAATCAATACAGATTTTACTGAAAGGTGCTCAGTCACTATGCCTAGGTATGGCACCTGCTGAATCTCCTTTTCATCTTTTTTAAGATTTTATTTATTCATGAAAGACACAGAGGGAGAGGCAGGCCGACGTGGGACTTGATCCCGGGACTCCAGGATCAGGCCCTGGCCCGAAGGCAGATGCTCAACCACTACCCAGGCATCCCTGTTCCAGTTTTTGTTACAACAAATGCGCTGCCGTGACCGTTCTTGTGCCTGTGTTCTGCTGTGCAGGTATAATCATTTCTCGAGGATATGTAATCCTAGGAGTAGCATTCTAGATTGTGGGGTATGTGAATGTTCAACTTTTATGAGATCTAATCAGTTTGGTCTTCAAATGCACTTTAGCATTCCACCATCAGCGTATGAGGTCCTATTACTCCCATCCTCTTCGATACTTGGTTTTATAGATTTTACTTTTTTGTGTTTAAGATTTTTTTACCATTTTATTCATGAGAGACACAGAGGCAGAGACACAGGCAGAGGGAGAAGAAGGCTCCATGCGGGGAGCCCGAGGTGGGACTCGATCCCGGGACCTCAGTATCACACCCTGAGCCGAAGGCAGATGCTCAATCGCTGAGCCACCCAGGCGTCCCGCCTTTTCATTTTTATAAACTAGAAAGCCTGGCCAACACCAAATGGTCCTCTGACTGCCACTGACTTTTGCCATTAAGAATTTGCGTAAGTTCATCGGTCCCTCCTACTTCATCTGCTGTGTAAATTCCTCACGTTTAACTTGACAGTAGGACAAGCGCTGTGGTCAAGGACGTTATATTGGAGATTAGTTCATAAGTATTAGGAATCTAAAGATGGAAAGCCAGTTGCTGGAAATAAGGAAGTAGGTGTCTCATTGATGTTTGCTTTTTTTTTTTTTTTTTTATTCCAATAGGGATGGTGTGACCCTCGTGCCTCAAATCCAATATTTGGAATTCCTGTTAAACTTCCTTTTCATGCAAGTCCAAATTATCCCATTGAAATGAGCTTCTGAATAACCAATATATTAATGTTTTTATTTTTTACATGTGAGATAATAGCTCATATTTTACTAGTTTTTCTAGTAATTTTCTGAAATGAGTGCACAAACTCCATTGGTCTTACTCTGTACATTGGTAGCCAAAGGGTAAGATAATTTAGGGCATTTTAAGATGAATTTGTACTTGGACTATTATTTTTGTTAAAAATTAGGTGCACTGAATTAACTATAGTCTAATACCCGTTCTTTCTTTGCATTGCATTTAAATTTACATTTATTTAGGTTGGGAGTTTTGTAATTTATCGTATCCTGTCTTTAAGTACTTAATTTTAGTTAAATGTATTTATACATTTAAAAATATATTCTCACTTGATTAGGTGCTCTATACCCTTTAGTGAATAAGGTGTCAACTTATGGAAGCATTTAAAAACAAATTACAAATGAGCACAGTTTTCCTGAGCAGTGGTAAGGAGGCTATCATGAAAATACTAACAAGGCGACTCTTGTTCTTCCTAAGAATTAAATTATGACATATATAGCAAATGGTCCAATGTGTGAGTTCCAGCTGTTGCCAAGCAACAGGGACTCTGTTTTGTTTTGTTTTTTTCTGTCCTGGTCCCTTACTGCTCTATACTTTTGGTAGAGGAAAAAAATACTTGTCTTAGAAAAAAAAATACTATATCGACATTTAGAACAGCAAATCAGTAACTTTATGTTAGATGAACCAATCCTCAACCACTGGAGATAGTAAGTTTTATAGTTAAATAGGAGTCCTCAGAAGCACTTAATTCACAGTCATCCAGAAATCAAAAGAGAAAGGCCATGGATATGGGTTCACAGTACGGACCTGGAAAGATAAGTATCTCTGAGAGGTCCATCCTTTCAGGAAAAAAGGCCATTGAGAATATAGGTTACCCCCACTACTGTGATCTCTTAAGGAAAATGAACATGCCTTTTGTGAAAGGAGTTGAGGACAGACACAACTATGGCAGAATCGAAAAGAAATGCAACCCTGCTTTTCTTAAATTTCACCCTTACCCCCCTTCAGTCTTGCCAGACTACCATTTACACTACCCTTATCCCCCACCGTATGGGCAGGATTATCCATTATTTCCACTTCGAGATGACGTGCCCTTGGGCGATTGCTGTTCAGGGTTTTTGAGTCCTGGTGGCGATGCTGATCTAAAGCCTGGCGTTGGCAGAGCCATACCAAGCCTGGTGGATTTCAGTGATGTGAAACCGCAGCATCGAGTTCCCAGGCCAGACACGGGATTTCAAACAACGCTAAAAAGGCAAAACATTTTGTTAGAAGAACTAAAACAGGACAGGAGATGGAATTCCAGGGCAGTACCAGACATTTCCATCAGAGCAAGACTTGGAGGTAAATAAAGTTACATGGGCCTTACAATTTTTAAACAAGGGAGAAGAGCGTGGATATAAGATTAAGTATTTAGCAGGAAATTTAACATAAAGTTGTAAAGAACTGAATAAGGATTCTTATTTTAAAATTCTAGACTGGGCAGCCTGGGTGGCTCAGCAGTTTAGCGCTGCCTTCGGCCCAGGGTATGACGCTGGAGTCCCACATCCGGCTCCCTGAATGGAGCCTGCTTCTCTCCCTCTGCCTGTGTCTCTCTCTGTGTGTCTTTCATGAATAAATAAAAAATCTAAAAAATAAAATTATAAGAATTTTAACTTTTAAATATAAGAATAGCCTTTTGTGAACCTATTTGTAAAAAAAAATGGTTTTTAAAAGTGCATTAATTAGGGTAAGTGACCAACGCAAAGCGATATCAGATAACTTTTTCTAGACATATGGATAACCGAAATTTTCCACAAGGACATACATGTTTAGTTTTGATAGTCATGTAGCATGGCTGCGTATATCTGTCTCCCTTGAAAAAACAAATCTGCTGGTGGTTATAAAAGAGCGAGGTCACAGGAGCTGAAATGAAACGGAAGGTAGTTACAGGTAGATTCCGGGTCTACTGGGAAGCAACCCTTACGTAGCCCTGGACACGGAATTGATGACCTCTTACTGATATTTAACCTTAGGGTTTCTGTGTGAGAACTCCCAGAGAGTGTCACAGGCCTGCTACGGGAAGAGTGAGAAACACTTCCAAAGGAAAGCCACGCGGAGTGCTTTTTTGTATGGAAGTGTGTGTGGCAAGCAGGGAGTGCAAGGAGGTTAACATCTTTGAGCGTGTGGAAGGGAAAGGACCACATGCTGTAGCAAGAGATGCTAAGCTTCATCTAGCACCAGAGGCTACACCCCCCTCCACTGCTCTTGGGCACTGCCCATAGACTAGAGGCCTAGGGGACAGTCTGGAGGAACAGTGATACCACCAGTGTTTGGAGCAGTGAGGATTCGTGGTTCCTGCCACTTTTCCATGGAGAGAGGCCATAGGCTCTCGGGACCTGGCAGGGGGTAAGAAAAAGGGAAAAAGTAATAGACAACAAGAGCCCCTCTTCCCCGCCCCACCCTGCAGACAGCGATTTGGAGAGATG